AAGCACTTGCTAGTCATAATTCTGGCATGGATGGTGATTGAACTTTCTTCCTGAATGCTCTGGTCCATTAGCAGTCCTGCCTGAATGGAGTTGTGGTTTTCCATTGCCTTTTATCACTTGTCAAAGAATTACTGAGTATCCCTCCAGGCAATCATCTCATTGCATAAATGCCCAGCCTTAACCCTATTATTTGGTAGTAACTCAATTTCTCCAGGATAGTTAGATTATTCACTACAGCCAGTACAATGGCCTCCCTTTGTGTCCATTGATGCATTAGTATGAGGAACCCAAAGTGGCTTAATGGCAACTTCAAATTTAATGGAGCCATTGATGTGACCTCTTGTAGAGGAATTCCTCCCATGTGCACTCAGACACCTAGAACCTGAATTCACAATTATTGGAAGCAAAAAATTTTGTTAGCAGAGTACTGAGGTATAAAAAAGAAAAAACAACTTCCATTTATATTCTTAATCCCCATACCTGTGAATACTGGCTAGGAAAGAACAGCACCACATATTGAACCCTGATTGAATGCATATACTACATCCCAGAGAAATTGCCCAATTCCTCAAGATATGCCAAACAAGTGGTGCATACCTATCTTTGCAATGTCATTCCACTATCCTATCAGGCCAACTGTCAGGGTGATAGGAAACATCATAAAATGAGTGAATTCCATGAGTGTGATCCAATTGGCACATTTCATTTGCTATGAAATAAGTAATTTGGTCAAAAGCAGTGCTGTGTGGAATACCACAATTAAAACATTCTGTAAGTATATGGATATAGTTCTGCCAAAAGCATTGTGAACAGAAAATGAATGTCTATGTCCAGACAGTGTTTATCCAGTTGAGGGGTATATTCCAATGTAATCAACCTACCATGAGGTGGTGCATTGATTGATCCTCAATGAATGGTACTATTTCAGAATAGATTTGTCACTCATCAGTGGCTTTCACTAGATAAGATGTTGGGAGTGTATGTACGTATTGCCGATCCCATGAACAATACCTCTGCCAACATGGCCGCCTGCTTTGTAAAGACAGAGGTTGGCTAACATCTATAAAAATAGTTACCTTACTCACAAAACTATGAAAATACCCCAATCTAAGGTTGCATTTTGGTGAGAGTACATATGGGTCACAATATCTTTATATTCTCTGTCCATTTATAAAAGTCTTTTCATATACCTCTTCTCCAGACCCTACTGCATCAATTTTTCAGACCTATTACTTAAAAGTCTCTGATCATTTAACAAAACCATACTCGCAGTCAATATCAATGTAGATTCATAACTGAACATCTCTCATTCCAAACAAAATGAACAGCCATATACATTGTTCAATGTTCTGCCACTAAAATAATTTTCCTTCACCTATATCCTTCAAAAATACCCTGGAGTGGGGCTGTATTTTTGTACTCATCTATTTTCAGGCAGTTCCAGCATTATTGTATAGGATCATCTCCTATGAGGCTGTAGGAGCAACTAAGAGGGAGAAAGCAATGTAGCAGGAATAGGAGACAAAGGCATTGGGCCACATATTCATACAACCTTCAGGATATACTTGAACCTGATTTTTTATAGACCAAATCATTTGATGTGGAGTGCTATTGTACTGAAACTTATGGTTGTATAAGTCAAATAACCCTCACAGTTTAGAGTGGGCATAGCATGTCAATTAGTAACTTGTTGGTCAATGGCCAAGTGTTCCTTTTCTACTCTGGCCCAGTAGTGAGTCAAATATGTTTCTCTAAAGGAGAAAAATCATCTACAGAGGATAATCTAGCTTTGCTCCAAAATCATAATGGTCTATCCCAGAATCCTGGATCCATAGTAATTTCATATGAGTGGGAGGCCCTGAATTTTTGTGGGAATCAATCATTTCGTACATCTGCCACACATGTTTCACCAAGCTGTCTAGAGTTGTTTCTTCTTGCTAAGCATAGGTTGAATCTTGGGAGAGGAAATCCACCTTGGACATTGAGTGTCCCTGCATATTCTTGCTGGGTATGCCAAGAATGCATGGCCCTGATTAATGCCTTCCAACATGACTTCTTGGAGTTGTTTTTATGGTGAACAACCTTGAGAGATGAGCTACCATCTTACTACATACAAAGAGCAGGCTTGTTCCTATTTGCTTCAATATTTTTCTTTTTTAACTAGAGGCCTGATGCACAAAATTTGTGAAGGGGCTCTGAGGGCTGAGGCAGCAGCCCCGGCTGCCAACCCAGTCCTCACAGCAAAATGAACAGCCATATACATTGTTCAATGTTCTCCCACTAAAATAATTTTCCTTCACCTATATCCTTTAAAAATAGCTGTGGAAGGACATCCAGAAGGACATCTGGTCTAATTAGCATATTATGCTTTTATTATTATAGATGTAGCCTGTAGGCCCTATGTTACCTCAGTAGGATTTTAGGGAAGATGGGGAATTGACACAAACTAAGATGGAACTATGGGCATTACATTTGCTGTAATAATAAAGTCCTTTATCTCTAGCCTATGAATTGCATGTCTTCTAACAACCAAGAAAGAGTCACATTGCCCTAGAAAATTTTGCTCAGTGGATAGAGCATCAGCCTGAAGACTGAGGGGCCCTGGATTCAATTCCAGCCAAGGGCAAATATCTAGGTTGTAGGCTTGATTCATGGCCCTGGTCAGGGCATATGGGAAGGCAACCAATCAATGTGTGTCTCTTACACTGATGTTTCTCTCTCTGTGTCTCTCCCCCTCCCACTTTCTCTAAAAATCAATGGGAAAATATTTGAGGGTGAGTATTAACAAATAAACAAAAAGAAATAGTCACAGACTAACTTGTATCTATTAAATTAAAATTTTCAGGCTATATAGTTCTTGACAATAAGCAAATTTCATCAA